GAGAATAAAGAATTCTGCTGTTTGCACATAATGTATATCATTTCCCCCCAATGTACCCATTTTTTTTTTGTTTATATAGGTTTTATAACGTCATATTGTATTTTTCAGTATAAGCCTGTTTTATGTTGGGCCAGTTGGATTCTAAATTTAAAGGTTGCAACAACAAATCTTCCAATCAATTTTGATTAATGCACTTTTTGCATATCTTATAAGAAATCTTATTTTAATTCCTAGCAACCCTGTGGCAAATTTTGAATCATCTGTATTATTTTCTATTGAATGTTTGAGACAAAAGCAAATGTCCATTTTAAGTCTTTAAAGTATGGCATTTTGGTGTAATGAGTGTCTGATATTGAGTTTGCAGGTGTTTGGAGTTACTGTGACTATAACAAAAATCAAGGATCGTATTTCAAAATGAAAGTTTAAGTGGAAAAATTCAACAGAATTTTAGTGCATTTTGTAAACTTTGTGGTAATCAGGCAGGGGATTGCAGTCCATTCTTCTGTCAGGCTACTTGCTTTCGTGAAAAACATATCAGAAATTAAAAAAATGACTGATAGCCAGGAAGATCAAAGGTATCGAGAGATGAAGGAGTGCAATCAATATTTGTGACAAGCTGGAAAGGAAGAATACCATCAAGCAACATATGAAAAAATAATCTCAAGCATCAATATACTTTGTTTTGAGAAAACCTTTGCAGTAAGGAAAAAGGTTTTGCCTAATAGGTTCCTTACTGCTTGATGCAACTTTATTGAAATGAAGATTTTATGAAGAAGGTGAAAGATTTCTGGGAAGCACTTCCGCAGAGAACCCGGTAAATGTAAACATCGCCAACTTTGGCGATAATAGTTCAAACCTGGTAACCTAGCTAATTTATCCTATTCGCTTATGCGAAGGTTGTCGTTGTTCGCATTTGAAGATTTATATTATTTTTCTCTTATTTATTATTATTTTTTCTGAATTTTTTACCAACGAATAGATAGAAATATTTTCGCATAATTAAAGAAGTTTTCGTCGAAAGATGCCGGATCTCGGGTCGTCAGTTCAGGATCAAAGGAAGAAATTATGGCGGGAGGGGTGAATGCTAATTTGTAACATGACTGTTCGCGTTATGTTCTTAATTATTAACAGCTGTAAGCACGCAGAACTATGAGGTTTGCAACCCCTATAATAATTTTTAAATGTATAAAGTTCTAGTTTTATTAAAAATGCTACTGAAGAAAATTTGATTACAGTTGACGGTTATTTGTATTGTGAAATTATATTATGAAAAAGGATACGTATTTGTTTCAACGTAAAATGCTTTAAGCTGTATGCAAGTAACTTGAAAAAGAAAAATACTTAAAACTATGTAAAATGGATATATTAAAGGTCATGCATTCATTAATTTATTACATGGGCATGGCTCTTACCGAAATACATCAATCAACAGGCAAAGTACTTCATAGTGAAAAAAGACATTTGTAATAGAAATATTAGTATTCTATATGAATTAGAGAAAATACATATAAGAATACTAATTGTTATTTTTTAAATGAATTTTTACTTCCCGTTATGTTTAATACATTGTTTTCTGTGCTAACTTGAATTTAATAGAAATTTATTTTCATATATCACGTTTAACCTGTTAGTTTTATATCTACATACTTATTATCTGTGAATTTTTACTACCATTGTCTGCTAACTTGAATTTACATCACTAAAAACCACGTTTACAAAATATCACGCTTACGGCTCGGCTCATCAAGGATGAGCCGCGAGCTTGGCGAGTAAAACTGCAACGGCGCCAAAAGGGTTCTTTCCCGAAGCGCCAACGGGTTCTCTGCGGATGAAAAGCCGATTTCTGGCTTAAATAAACTAAAGAAACATGACTTTGAATTAAAGGTGAAATAATGGTCAATCAAGTGAAGAAGTCCATCCTCCCCATGGCTCTGAAAATTCGACATGCACAATCATAGATATAGTAAATCATGATTTGTGCATAAGATTACTAAGGAATTATTACGAAAGATAGAAACTACAGCTGGAAAAATGTAACTGTAGTATAGCATTGAAAGTATTTGCAAAAACTGCACAGAAAAATGCACAAGAGTCACCTGAATTGGTTAGGTATGCTTAGAAATTGACATTGTGAGCATTCATGCAGATCCATACCTGAAAAAAAAGCTATGAAAGATCTGTTGACCAAGTAGGAATGAGAAGTTTTACCTCATCCACCATAAAGTCTATATGTACACCAGTATTCAGACTTCAAATACTTCTACAATTTGAAACAGCATCAGTAAGAAATGTGTTTTCCATTCTTGAAAGTGGTTTTGCAAATCTTCCAAGACAGGGAATTGCACAGAACACTAAAGAAAACTGTGAAAAATAAAATCTGACAGAAAAAAAAAAAAAATGAGAGCACATTTTTAAAATGATCTTTACATTTATCCTTTGTGCTGTCACAGCTGCCATTACCTTCTTTAAAAATAACATGCCTGCTACAGTAATTCAGAGAAATAGAATTATTTGACATTTGTAATTCTGATGTATGATGGATAGTTTGCAACCAATTAAATTTTTACACACATAGTATAACTAAACAAATTAAATGACTAATTAATAAAAAAGCATGTCATTGCATTCTATTACAAAATAAAACTATTGTTTATTGTGTGCCACATTTAAGGGACAGTTTAGTGAGACAGTTTAGCCATGCTTATTATATATGAAAACATCTAACACATAAACAAGGAGTTTTTATCCAGAGGAATATTCTGTAGCACTATGTACAAAGGAGGACAGCAAGGAGAAAATTTTTTCTTCATCTAATTGACATTTAAATTTTAGAATGCTATGGAACTCAATCCTGAAAATGTTTATGCCTTTTTTTTTAATCTGAACCAAGAGAATTGTTACTGTTTGAAACATTTATAAAGTAATTTATGACATTTTTCCAAATCACAATCTGCAGGTGTTTCGGTGAATTCAGAACAAAGTCTTGTGATCTTTGTGGCCGATTGGCCACTACTTAAACTAATCAAAAGAGTAGTCTATGGAATAAATATTAAACAAATCATGTAGCTTATGCTTTTAGACTGCCAACTGTTAGAAATATTTTTCATAAAAAATGTAGTTTTAGGTATCTTTGTATCATTTGTTTGAGAATCAATGAGAACAGGCTTAATTAGGGGAAAAAATTGCTCCAAAGATTTGATTACTCAAAAGTAATTTTTAACATCATATCAAGTGATAAGTCTTGGTTCTGTCTATATGATCTAAAAATTAAATGTCTACTATATGGGTTTGTTCTGGTAAAGATCAAGAAAGAGTGAAATACTGAGATGAAAATAGTGTATTCTTTCTTCTCTACAAGTTGATGCATTAAACCTGTGATATTTAAAAGATGCATGAATAATGACTTGTGAGTAGCATACTACAAATTTCTTACCTAGTCCAACCAGAAAGTAGATTAGGATTAACACTGTTACATTGTAACAATGCAACAGCTCCCTCAAAAATGATAAACACTTCAATTTCTAAGGAATTCAAGGTTTGAAATTCTTAGCCATTCTCCATATATTCCAGATTTAATGTTCAGTGGACTCCTTATTTTATAAATATAATGAAAATATTCCTGGAGGAATATTTAGGATAGAGATTTTAACTCATCTAAAAAGATTATGCTGGTCTGAAGAGAATTTAAGGACAGTATGTCAAAAGAAAAATGAAAGTTGTGTTTAGCAAGTTGTTTAAAGAAGCTTCAGCAGAAGAAAGAATATTTCGAGAAAATATAATAGGAATTACTTTGATACTTGTCTATTTTAATAAAAATTCTTTCATGAAGCAACCCTTATAAGATTTTGTCAATATCAGAAATTTACTAACCACGGAATCCTCGAAATAAATTCAGTTTTCCCCCATTAAATTATATTTCTGTTATGAAAGAAAATTCTTGTTTGACGTATTATGCAAATGAGAATAATAGACTTCTACAATAATTTTAGAAAAAAACTTTTTCTATTAAAAATAGTAATTTATAAATTTGTATAGTTTATTTCCATAATCAGTTCTTGACAAAATAAACTCTATTTCATGAATTGATAGTATAATATAATCTGCAATATAAATATTTTAACCAATACAATAGGATTAAATGTTGAAATATTAATTTTTTAAAGTTCTCACTGAAAATGTACAGATTGAATAAATGTTGGTTTCATAAAATTTCTAAGACTTGACTATTTTTAGGAAAAACTGTGGACAAGTTTTAGAGTTGTAATTTGGTACATAAAAATAACTTATTGACTTCTTCTCTCAAGGCCAAAATATTCCCACCATAATGGAAATTAATTGCAAATAAAGTGAGAGTTTGAAACTAACACTGCATCATATAAAATTAAGCTCATGTTTTTTAAATAATTTCCACACTGATGTGGCTAATAGCAGCTATAATATTCAAGTTTCTTAAAAAAATTAAAAAAAACCCTGCAAAACAAAGATCACCACTATACAACAACTAAAATCAATGAAAATAATGCTATTGCTTTAAAATAACAATAAACACAAAAATCCCGTAAATAGGATGATTTACATAGAAAACCAGATGTTTGAAAAATAATCCAGCAAGAAGTATTGTATCAATTGATATGAAATTACCATTTTGCTCTTTATCTGTACGAGATTTTGACTTTGCAAAACATAATAAGTAAATAAACCGTATACTATATAACCTTATATTTTCCTGTGGTGATGACATTATTATTGTTTTTGCTGTTGTATATATAACATAATATAAATGGTTATGCTTTTACATTTCTGCCATTTATAATTTCTTATGTAAACAGTTAATTACTGAAGTATGCTTGAATATTTGGATTGAACTATTTTATTCTAAATATTTCATTCCAGTTTGACAAAAATGTGAAGTATGAAATGTTCTAGGAGTATTTTGAGTTGAAATATGAAATCCTACTTATAATTACAAATGCATTAGCAGGAAGAAATAAACACACAAATTTTATTTCATTTATTATTATTATTTTATTAGTCCTTTTTTTATTCGAACACAAAACATCACATTTTTAGACTTTTTAATGAATATAAACAAACTTCGTATAATTTAAATTCATACTGTATCTTATTTGAAGCAAAGATCTGATAAGTAAATAAAAGAAATATATCTACTTATGTTTTGAAATTTTTGCTATAGCTACAAATAAGTTCTACTTAGTAATACAAATAATAGATTTTCAATCCCCAACAAAATTCTGGTAGATATAATAGATAAATGCATCCCATTAAAAACTCAAGTTGACTGACTAGAAGGAAAAGGATGTATTTAAAACCTCATTAAAATGGAGGAAATGGCAAAAGGAAAATTTAAGTAGAATATGAGTTAGAAAATTTAAAAAAAAAAAAAAAAAAAAAAAAAAACTAAAACTCAATCCCAAATTATATGACAAAATAGTAAATAGTATTTTTTGATGTTTCTCAGGACTCAGGAAACATATCAGACATGATGAAGGTTGTAATTTAGCTAGGCACTAGCATTAAAAAATTATCAATTTTAAATACACTTGTGCAATTCTAACTAATGGACTGTGTCATGAAAAATAAACTGTTAGCTAATTATTACATTTATATTGGCACACTATTTTTTGATTGACAATTTAGTCACATTTGATATAAGTTTTCTCAGTTTCATACATATTTATAATTGCTTTTATTTTGTGCATATTATTCTTTAAAGCAAAAGTATTGCTTTAAGTATAAAATATAATTTCTGGAATTTGTCCATCTTCAACAGAGGTTCCATTATTGTTCCCGGCAGCATATGTATACAAAAAAGTTACTTTTCCACCACTTGGACAATCTAAGGTAATTTTTCTTAATCCTTTTGTTCCATAATGTGAATCTGGACCCTAAAAACATATGAGAGAAAAAAAATAGTTTAAAATCCTAATAAATCTATTAAAAGTGAAATGCTAACACACAACTGTCAATACAATAAAATTCTGTCTGCATTTGGTATCGCATCTTCAATGACTAAAGAATGAGTTATAACAGAAAAATTCATATGCTGAAATGCTAACATGTGACATTGCTTGTTAAAGTGAAGACTTATGCACACAATCCTGGAATTAAGCACTTTTTGAAAATTTAGTGACTTCTAATAAGGTAGTTGCATTAATACATAATAACCCAAATGGTATGCTGGAATCACTAAATCACTGCACCCCAGATGCTTTTGTTGATACATAATTTCATTTTGTGGCCAGTTAAGCATATTTAAATGTGAGGTAAAATGTCTTTTTCTTGAAAGAATGATACTGCATCTTCCTTATTCCTTGGTAAATTAAAAATCATTAACATATTTTGGGGGAAAAAAGAGCAAACAATATAAATCTGACAACACCATGTTGCTTAGGCTGGAATAATAAAGTGCCTTTTTACTTCCTCGTATGAAGTAAAGCAAGTATTGTAATTGCGGAAATTTTTGGGTATCATATTTTAACCAATATATCCATTTTGACTGCTATCAAATGCAATTTAACGATGTTTTTACATGACATATATACATGAGAACAGAATAAAGGACTCTTTTTCCCACAATGGGTTGCAAAAAGGATTTAAAATGGATTCAGAAGAAATTTTTTCATGATGTTTGTACATACTTACGTACAGCACAAATCAAAAACGACTAGCCTTAGAATGTTAAAATTTTGTATATATGACTGCTATAATAATAACAAGTCGTTGTGCACCTTCCTTTCTGGTGTAATTGGCCGCACCAAAAGTATATATATATACACCCACACACCAAAGATGTTATACACAATACAGACAGAAGTTTCCAGTAGACCTTATACAATATAGTGTGACTCAGTTGTATGTTACTTGGCTCCGTGACCTCGGTTTCCTTAATTTTTATATGTTGGTAAAAAGTGCATTTTTGGTTTTAAAAATGATTGAACTATGTTGTTCTTATCTTCTATTTAAGGTTTTTATGCCTTTTAGTTAACCTACATGCAATAGTTGTTGAATTATCAACAATTAAAAAGTTTTAAGTGCAGCTAAGCCAAATTTTTTTACCATAGCAACCATAGTTGTTTACATTTGAAACTTAGTAAAGTCAGAATAGTGAAAGTCAGTTTAAATCTTAAGTGTCTTTTTGCCAAGTGAGACCAAAAGTAAACTTTCAGTTTTGTGCACGAAAAATCTGCCTTATTGCCTTCTGTAAACTGCTTGTTTTTGGGTAAAAACTCTAAATGAAAAAAAAAAAAAAAAAAAAAAAAAAAAAACTTTATTTGGCATTTTATATTTTTCTATATTTAAAAATTTTTAATAAACATATTTTAAGGTTTTATGTATTTTTGCCTTGCTGCGAAGTGAGAACTGAATTAACTAAATGAGAAATATATCTCTAATTGAATTAGAGAAAATAAGTTTAAATGAAATGCAGTAAAAAATGCATATAATTTAATATTCTGTACAAGGAAGTCATGTGATGTACACATCAGATTTTTTTTTATGGGAATGAAGCCATTGAGTTTGAACTACGAGAAACAGATCCAAACCAGTGCTTCTAAACTTAAGTATCTAAGATGTGTGTGTACAGACTCAGAAAGAGATAAAATATTATTTACCTTCAGTAAGAATTTCAAAATTTACATGCTCATAACATTACATGCACTTATAAAGTATTACATAACATCGCTACAGCAATTATATTAATTTATAATAATTATTTATTTTACCTTTAGTGTTGCACAGGCTGTGTAATTGTTACTTGGAATAATTTCTACTGGTGTTTTAAACATTACACGGAATGTAGAGGCTGATCCATCACAACTGAAGCTTGTATCATTTGAACCAAGTAATTTTCCTGTTCCAGTGTGAATAATCTACATAAAATTTATACATATAAATATACATTCTGAATTCTTCAATTTCAAAAAGAACATTTATATTTTACCTTGAATAAAGTCATAACAATAATTAAATCGAAATTTTGAAAACCAGTAAACATATTTCAATTCATATAATATATGAACTGAATACTTCATTAAATACTTAAAATATATAAAAAAGAAATTTTAAAATTAAAATTTTAAATACCTGTATATTAACTGTATAATCCGAAGGTCCATGAATAGATCCATAAAGCCCAAAACCAACAACATAAATTTTTCGATCAACCATAAACCTACACATTATGAGGAAAGAGATAACACTAGAATGCATCATATTTTTACATATAAAATATCAAGCCAAAAATTTCAAACTGCAATGTAATTTTACTACAAAATCAGACTTAATCATAATAAATGTTAAAATTCTTATAAAAAATAAAATGTAAATTAATCAGTTTTCATTTACATTCTCTTTTCAAAAGAAGAATGATAAGCACTGACCTGAAATAAAGTACATCTATAATAATAAAAGCAAGTGTAATGTGTCTGTCTGTCTGTCTGACCGAGCTCTCCAGCCAAATCTATCGCACGCAGGGACCTGGAATTTTTTATATGGAAGCACAAAGGGGCTGGCCACCAGACCTCGAAGCCCGATTTTCGATTTTTGAATTAGAAAAATGAAAAAAAAATTATTTATAATTAATTAATCACGGTTTTTTTTGACTCACTGATATTATTATTTGTTTTCAAATAACGTTCGATTTGTAACAATTGATTTCTTTATTTCTTTATTCTAGCATTAGTTTGCTGTTTTGACGATACATTAAATCGATTAATTACAATTCATTTCCTTTTTGTAGCTTGTGGGGGGGGGGAAGAGAGAGAGACAGTCTACATGTCCTACACTACTATTCCTGCGCTATTCACTTATCTGCATTTTCTAAATGCACGGGCAACGCCGGGCGGGTACACCTAGTATGAAATAAAACTGAATCTAAAATAACCAAAAACTAAAATTAAAAAAAAAAAAAAAAAATCTTGATATTTTAATGTATTATTTGCAAAAAATTCTAAATGCAAAATGTCATTTTTCACCAATTTCAGAAGGAATTTTGCAATACGACTTCAGCTGGAACCGTAATAACCTCAGATACTCAAAAACGTGATTAACAGAAACTAAGTTAGAATTCTTTTGATAAGGTTTTTCCAATTTTTTTAAATTCTAAAATAAATACACAAGCACTATTAATAATATTTTAATCAACACTTTTGTTACAAAAATATTCATGAAAAAATTAGAAACTCGACAAACTATATGAAAATTTATGCACATTGCGAAATTTTATTAACATTTCTTGCCTGTAATTTTAAGATATTAATTTTGTTTGAAATTTTTTTTCTGCGATTGTCCTATAATGCTATCAGTCTTAGCATGATTATGCCAGTTTTTGATTATAAATTATCCATAGTAGAAATATCAGACACTGATGCTGATTTAAAATTTTTATTGCTTATTTAAGTGATATCGGTACGGGAAAAAACAGACAGTTATATAAAATGTTTATTCATGAAAACAGTAGGTACTTTCAAAGTATTCTATTAAATTAATTTGCTAAATAAATAACTATGTTGTGGCCACCCTCTTGACTGTTTTACTGACCCCTGACCAATACTACCCCATGGAAGGCTAGAGTGCCAAATGGGAGATGGTATTGCCTCCATTGGGAATCATGGCATAAAGCATTTTCTCAAAATAAAAAAAAAATTAAATATATATATATATATCTATATATAATAAATTAAATATTAACACGAAAAGAGTAAAAATACAAAAGGTACAATTCTGAGATTTGTTTCAAATATTAAAAACTGTTGAAAGGCGCTTATATACAAATAATGATTATAAGATATCACTTTAGTTATTTATTTATCTCTTAGATGGCCTATTGAGGGAGTTCTGTCTATTGAGGGAGCTACCATGATATCTTAGTGCTAAAGTATTGTTTATCCTGTTGCTTTTATTTCCACCGCCACATTCGCAATGCTTGTAAAGAAGGAGGAGAAAGCTATTAGTCCAAAATAAACAGCTGCTTGCTACGAGTAATTTATTTGGAGTCAGATAACATGAAATAAATTCACCGCAAACAAAAGATCATATGAATAAGTAAAAATGGATTGCTCATGAATGGGTGTAAGATACTCAAATTAATAACTGCAGAATGAAGAAAAATTTGCTTAGAGTACTAACAATAATTCTATAAGCATATTAGAAATAACAACAGATTATTTCAGGCAAGTCCTATAAAATAAATTCAACACTGAAAATATTTATCTATTAAGCTCACATACATGTACCATACATTAGTTACTAGATCAAAATTTCATAGTTGATGCAAATAAAAAAGGAAACATCTATTATTTAAAATAAGATTTGAACATTTATATTGTTTAACAATTAAAAACAGCTATTTAAACTTATTGCTTACATTTTTACATCCCTTTAAAAATTTAATACTTTAATAAATAAATAAATAAAAACACATGCTATAACATTATCATGTCTAAACCAAATAATACTCATGGTGAATGCCGACAATTTAATAATTAAGAAACTGCTAATTTTTTTGCAGCATAAATGCAAGGGAAAAAAATTAAAGGTCACACATTTCTTTAGATGCCTTTTTCATTTATGTGTCTAAATAAGAACATAACCTTTAATTTAGCTTTTCAAAAATTAATGATATCATAGCAACAACATAAATGTGAAAAAGGGACCAAGTTTGGGAGAAATGTTCGGTGTAGTCGATGACACCGAATGTTGTGAATGTTGTTGTTATGATTTATTTTACACAGGAATGTACTAATGAAAAACTTATATATGGATAGAGTGATTTCTTGCATTAATTCATTTATAATAGATGTTAATTTAAAGTCATCAAGTTCATTTTGTCAAAATAAATTTATCAAGTATTTTCCTTTATGACAAAAAATTCAAACCATTCAATTATAGTAAAACAATCACTATGAAATGCAAATCAATCTTTCACACATGCTATTTTTTTTTAAATACATGATGCAGCTATTTACCTAATTCTATCACTAGTACCGCTATAGCCCCATCGGCTTTCAGACTGTTGAAATCTACATACAGTTTGCTCTTTACCAATGATACAACAACGAGGAACATCAGGAAAGTTGATTGGAGGTTTTGGATTTACAGTAAAATACAAAAAGAGAGAAACTATTTCTTTATCAGTCAAAATATTAGCTTGTGCTGGTCCAACAGCGAACTCCTCCACAGTCATTATGGGAAACCTTATAAGATGAAGAGCACGGCCAAGCAGCATTCTAAGATTTTCAGCATTAGCTGTTAAATTTTGACGTATGCTTTCTTGTTCTCCCCACCTAAAATTTAAAAACATAATGTAATGTAATTATCCTAGCACAAAACAAATTTGTGCAATTAAGTTAAAAAAACTAATAAATTTAACAGACATACATACAATTCTTCACATAAAAGTACCAATTTCAGTTCCTGATAGATCTACACTATCAAAACTATACTTGGATAATAGAATAGGAAATTTATGACTCTTACCAGAATAAAAATGAATTATTTTAAATATATTTTATAGTAAAATAGTTAGAGAGCTATAATCATATTAATAGAATTATCACAAATTGTTAGTACAGTACAATGCTCAAAATCCGGAAGTCCAACATAAGGACAACCAGGATTTTTTTTAAAGGAAATTTTTTTTTTCTTTACAAAATCTAGGAATAGAGGTATAATAACTTCAGGAAAATATCAAATGTGCCATAAAAGCAATTTTTCTGACTTAAATTCCTATATAACTTTCAAATACCTGCTGGCTAGGAAATCATACTGCCAATGAAAATAAATTGACAATGTATTGATATTGGTAACAGTCACACTTTCAGCTGTTGAGCGACTGAGAAATTACCATTTTTTTTTATCTGATCTAAACGATAGCTGAAACTCTAAGACATTTCTTTGCAGTGGGATGCTGCTTAAACTGCATTCTTTTGGTTGCATAGCAGCAGGGAAAGAAGAAAGAATTAGATTGCGAGAATTAACATAGCAAATTGTGCTCTTCTTTAACGTTCTAATTTGATTTAGCTTATTGTTTTTTATATGCTATTTTTATTATTATAGCTATCTCATCAAAATTAAAGTTTGAATTTTTGATTATGTTGAAAAGAGTTTTTAATACTAGAGCTGCAGCCAAATCTGGAAAGTGAAAGCATTTTTTGATATCAATTCAGCAAAAAGTAGATTTGGTAGGGGGTAAAAAAATGGATAGAAATATCGATTTCAAAATTATGCCATGAATATGGTGCTGAAAAACATTTGATTTTTTTTGGTGGATTCTGACATTTCATTCACAAAGAATAACAGAAAAATCATTTATTATGCTAAAAGTGACAATTATGACAGATAACTCAATGTGTAAGACAGCCATTGATACGTCCAATGCTAATAGGTGTGAACACAAGCATTCACATCGGTATTTTAAGTTCATTGAGGTCATTCAATGAGTTAAAATCATTGCCGAACCTGTTTTTCCTCTCTTGGACTGTGAATGCCACTGGTGAAGTAGGTTTTACCCTTCTCTGTGGCTCAAGTATGTGCCCGAGTTTTTAAACCTCTTTCCTGTGGCTTGTGTATGTGTGCTGAAAATTTTTCTTCGAGTTAGCAGTTTATTGTGGAAAACGTAAATTAAAGTAGTCATTTTTAGCAGTTTGAAGAATGCCTACGAGTATATTCTTCCATCTATAAAGAGATTTCTTTTAGCATGAGATACCAGATGTTCAAAACTCTTAACTTATTTTTCTTGTTGCCATTTTACTTTCTGAAATCAGAAAAAATACCCACACCTCAGGCATTTCAGAAATAAAGATTTCCCCTGTCATCTTTAGTTAAAAAAAAGAAAAGAGCATGGATGATACAAACATTAATGTATGATTGGCTTGAAATTCATTTCATATCCAGCAGCATTTGATATCTATGAACTGGTTTACTGGATGATGCAAAAATTGTCCCAACTATACAAAAGCATTCAGCTCAAACTTCACTTATAATTTTAATTAAAGAGATAAAAGTCTTCTTCTTATTCTTTTCACCAGATAGTACCATTCAATCAAAAGATATCAAAGTGCTGCACACATAGAAATAATGAACTAAGGTAGTCATTTTAAAACTTGAGCTTAACTTTCTGAGCAGTGGCAAACCATTAAAAATTTTTTGAAATATTTTAACATAGAAAGTCACCCATATGGTATAGTGGTTAGGGGGGACTTGACTGTGACACTGAAGAGCCAGGAGAAGGCATGATGTAAAATTGTCTGTCCCTTCCTAGGACGTAACAGTGCCCGCCTGTTAGGTGCCTCCACTTCTGGCCTTAGGAGTAGCCAATGCATAGGCAAATGGCCATCACTGGGGAAGGGGAGGACATAAAATCTACTGTGTAGATCATTGCAAGGTCATGGGAGAATAATGTGTTTGCGGATATTAAAAAAATGCTTGACATGATTTATGGCAGCTAATTATATTCCCCAGTGATGATGATGATGATAGCTGCAAATTTAAAGGCATTTGAATTTGACAAACAAAAGGAAAATTTTCAATTAACTCCTGTACAGTTGTGTCCACATGCCAGATGAAAAACACTTTTTTTTTTTTTTTCCCAGCCTGATTTGCCCACCAGGGTTCGTACACATTTCTGCACATGGAAATTAAGGACTTTTAAGGACCATTAATGAAAAAAATTAAGGACCTATGAACAAATGGGAACTGAATAAATTCAATTGAAGATATTATCTATGCCTGAATTTCACTTTTATAATACCATCCTAAAAATAAAATAGATCCCTAAGTAGTACGCATTATTACTAAACATGAATTAATTAACATAATTATTAATAAGTTTGAGAATAAAATAAAATATGCAAATTTATCAAGTGGCATTAAATATTTTACACTTATGACAGTTGGTCATATTTGAACGTTTATATCGATTTCCTACTCTTTTGAGCATCTTTTCTAACAATTAGAGATTTGTCTCAGTATGCAAACCAATGCTCTCACTAGTTTCTGCGTGCTTCATCTCCTGACTTATCAATCTCTCCATAATGTAACTATGAGGGTTTAATTGATCTGGTAAAAGTTAAATAGTCCAAAACCCCCGACAGACGTGAAGCATATTATCACTATGTCTGAAATTAACTACAGTATCAGACAAAGTATCAGACAATTTAATTGTAATTTAATCTGGCTCAATAACTCTATCATATAAGGAAATAGAAATTGGAAATTATAGTAAAGGTTGAAATCAAACAATTGGGTAATTTACATAATAATAACTGCACATATCTTTAAAGAATAATTTCCTTTATGTACTCAGTTTCTTTCTTCAACACGTTTCCTTTTCATTTTAGAACTTTTGGATTTAATTAAAGATTTCCATTATTCTAAAAACACTAAATGAATTTAGAAAGTACAGAAAAAGTGGCTAATTTTATTTCTTTAGTAATATGAACATTCAGAAGCAATATGAAATATATATAGTAAAGGATGTTTACAGAGCTGATGTGGCAGAATTTCTAGAATTTAGTAACACACCGAACAACAAAATCTAGAAATGGCAAAACTTTTAGAATTTAAAGCAAGCATTGGAAGCAGAATTTAGAAAGGCAGTAGGCAGCAGAATTTAGGATCCACAGAGATTGCATCAGGTGGGAAAATGCCTATTGCCAGCTATGTGTATGATGCATTAAGAAATATTAGATGAATCTTTTAAACTGTAAGTTTTCAATTTCTTTATTAATAAAAAAATCCCTTTCTATAATGCCTGCCCATGTGATAAGATCAGAAGCATTTTTGATATTTTCCATGCTTCTGTCTAATGAAAAGTAGAGAAAATAAAGAAAAGATAAACATGTTAAGATTCTAAGTATCAGAAGTAATACATTCAAAATATTATTGTTTTCATTGTTCTTCCAGATGTTCTCCCAAAATTAAGAAATTCATTGCAAACTTTCTGTAAAATACATCCACTACGTGTTGATACCACCATGGAGACATTTTTCATTTATGTCGCATATTTCTCGAATCTTCTAGAATCTAGGTCTATAAATCTTGCCTTTCAAATCCTTCTAAACTTTCCAAGCTTGCAATGTCTAAAATCCTAAAGAAAAATTATCCCTTACCATTTCTGTAACAGAAAAAAAAGCCAGAAATATTTTGGATAAAAGGGAGGGAAAAAAGTATAAAATTAATTTTATAGAGAAAACTGATGCACATTCTGAGAATTTTGAATATTCTGAGACAATTACATGGGAAAAACTTTTACTATGAAAAAATTAAAAACAAGACAGTTTTAATTAATTACACAGCTAATTTTGCTTTTGCTAAGAGCTGTTTCGTAAATTGTGCTTTATAGCATTATACCTTGTTTATTTTTCAGATTTAAAATATTGTATAAGTTGCCAAAATAAAACTTTATAATATGACTGAAAAATAAAAAAGTTTTATTTTAATGTTATTTTTTAAATATAATTTCAATATACTACCATTATTTTAATAAAATTTATCAATGTTACGATGTTTTAAAAAAAAATCGTTTAAAAATTCTCAGATTTTGGAATTAAAAAGTTTCTATAGAAACTTATCTTAAAATCGCCAAAATGTTGAAAAGTCGCGAAATTTAGAACAGTTTAATAAAAGAACTCACATCCCCAAAAGCAAAAAGTTGTTTAAGAGCTCTTTACTACAATAAATGAATTTTGAAATGCTTATGTTTCACTTCTTGCTTAGAAACTCGAGTATCCCATCATTTATATTAGAAATAGAAACAAATTACAACTCATGAACCTATTCAAACCATTACCATATATACGGCAGTGAATCACCAAAAATATTCTTCAAAATGCTAATTCACACTCAAAATGACAGTCGTAAAAAGAGACAGAAATTTTAGATGATTAAAATTAAGGACCTTCTGTTGATTTTGACCAAAATTAAGAACTTTTCAAGGACCAAAAATCGATTCCAAAAAATCTAAGGACTTTTAAGGACTCTTAAGGACCGTACGAACCCTGCCCACATGTGGCTTTTCATTTCCAAGTTTTAGATTTGACTATCCTGTGTTATTTATTTTAGTTCACTTTTTCAGTTTCTAGGCTGTTCATACTTTCCCCCTTTTTGCTAGTGAATTCATAGTGAAGGGTCTACTTCATTACAGTTACACTGGTGTTGCATTTCCTGAAGGTCTTGCTTAGTAATGTTTTGTTACAAATTAAACTTTTATTATCTTATTATTAAAAGCATAAGAACTTTCAAATTATAATACTATTATTGTAATTTGCATGTTTTAAATTTTTTT